CTTCTTCTCTTCTCATGCACATTTGAGGGTTTTCTGCTTCACTTCTTTGCTCCGGGAAGACGCTGCCTTCAAAGAGGCATTACTTTTGTTGTTTTCTTTGTCAAGAGACAAAATTAAAATGAGACACCCCAGTGTGTTGGATGCGTTTTCCAGTTTTGTTTTACTGTTTGATTGTTGATAGCTTTATTAGGGTGAAATGGTATAGAATCAGGGTAGAAAAACATTGCCCATTGATCTTTAACAGAATTGGTGTTATCCATTTTAAGATAATCAGTGTTTTGTCCTTTAAATTCATATAATCATTTGTTATGTTGCTGAAGATAATATGACGATATATTAGAATCTGTTTTCAGTTTCATATATAAAGCAAACTGCTAGCAGCTGTAGTTGAAGTGGAGGCCTTGAGAATGGGGCTATAATGCTTTTTCAGAGATCTCAAAGAAGAGACTAAAAGGATATCAAATTAAAGGGAACCCCAGATGTACTGCATTCTGAAAGAATCTTCTCTTTTTTTGCACCTGATCCAAAATCTAGCATTTTGTAATTAAATTATCTCAAGCACATACCACTTGTTGGGGCTATCTAGTGACAAACCTACCTGTAGGTTTTCACAGCAATTGTGCCAGAATCTATACCACACCTCAATGTATTGGGATCTGAGCTGAGGAAGCATTGACTTCAAATATGCTTATTTAGGAGTTACAATTTTCAACATTTTAAGAAAAGTGAAACTGAGATTTTCTTTTTGTTTCTTAAAACTTACCACACCCCCCCTCCTGAAAGTGTTTTGGACACGTCAACTCTTTCTTCAGCTTTTTTGCACGAGGATTGTCTTTGTGATCATCTGTTATAAAAGCAAAGTAGGCAGCCCCATGCTAAATACCACAGAACATTCTGGGATGATTTTTTTTTCTTTAACTGGTTTTCACTTTTCTTCTATATGTTTGGCCACCAAAACAGAAATAAGCTCTGTGCTTTATTAACATGCTGTGGGTACCTCCTGAGATGACTGGTATTTTCTTGTTTCTTTTTATTTTGCTGTTCACACATGTTCAGTAAAGAATTCTGGAGACAGCTGCTGTTTACTTTGTCTGTTGTAGACATGGCAAATGAAGCTAAAGTAGGATTGGTCAGAGCATAATCTCATTCTTTTCCTGTGCTACCTTTATAGCATTGATTATTTTGGGCATGCAGTTGACACCTGAAATGGAAAGTTTGTTTGTCCAGCCCTTCATCATCACCCTTGGTGCTGCTAAAAAAACCTACAGCTCACTAGAGATACAGCATATAAAGGGGCGGGCAGGTATAAGGAGACTTCGTCTCAGAGGCTTTGTTAATGGAGGTATGCCTGTAGAGTACTTCATTATGTCTCTGGCAACTTCAGTGAGATTGAAGCCTGGAATTGCTGAATTCCTTGAACAATGTAAGTTAAGTATGCACTGCAGGTTCCTTTCCTGTTGCAATCTATCGCTGGATGCGTTCTTACTTCTGCATGATTCACATTTGAGTATGAGGCATTTCCGTTATATTGCTGTCAGGATGGCTGGAAATAGTGTTACTCATATCCACGTGCGTCTGAATTAATATTTCTCTGTATTACATAGTCAATATTGGGGAGCTTTTACCTGAACACCCTAAATCCCCCTTCCCCAGTATCCTGTACCTTGAGTTTACTGAGTGTATTCATATAGTTCTTATTTTAGTGCCTAGGCCTATTGATTCTAGAGTGAGTTTGTTTCCTTTAATGGTATGTCCTAGTAATTGCTTGTCACATCCATATAAAGTTTTAGCTGAGTTCTTTTTATTATCCTTTTATTTCTTGATCATGTATATAAATCTCTAATTCATTGCAAATTGTTTTTTCTTTACTGTTGAATTGAGACTGTTGAAAGATATGTCATACCATTTTAATTTTTTACTTTTGCTTTTGTCTTGATGTTATTGTTTGGCTTTAGCATGAAGGTGTAAGCTGGTTTAGGCCTCCTGTTTGCAGGAAAATATTTAGTACAAATAAATGCTAAGGTGAAATGAGAGTTTAAAAAACTATTTTATCTTTGATGCTTGGAGCTAAGCAGAGCAAAGTAATAATTTGCATCTCCTGGGAATAAGGATATAGCAGTTCAGTGCATTTCTGTTAACGTTAAGGCTGGAATAAACTACTGACAGTTCTTAACTGAGCAAGAAATTAAGTGTGATTAGTGTATTGTGCTGCGGTGTTTGTTATCTCTCTTTTTAAAAACAGTCCTATATAAAGGGTGGGAGTCAAAGTTCTTCTCAAAGATAAACAAAGTATCCCTTGTTTGTGCTGAAATGTTTGCTTCTCAAAAAGTGACTTGAATTTACTGCAAGGTTAGGTAAGTGATGGATCAGTATTGTAATTAAACATACAGTTTCAACAGTTCACTCACACGGGAAGACCTTTGGCTAAAGATGATTTTAATGAATCAGTTGCTCTTCATCCATGGCATTTTGGGCTGGGTTTTCCCATTGCCATAGTAATTTGTTTCCCAGAAAATCCATCTAAGAAGAAAAAAGATGGATAGAGTTGCTGTAAGTTTTTCAGGCTGTATGGCCATGTTCCAGAAGCATTCTCTCCTGATGTTTTGCCTGCATCTGTGGCAGGCATCCTCAGAGGTTGTGAGGATGGATTGATAGCTGCACAGTCTTTCTTTATATTAGAATACCTCTAGTAGCATTAAAGGCTGTGTGATAATATTGTCTAAAACATATGTTGATGGTGAGTGGTTTGTTTTAGTGATTGATGTAGTGCTTTCAGTGAGACTATGAATTTGAGGGACCCTGGTTCAAATCCTCACTCAACTATGGGAACTTATTGGGTGACCTTGTGCAAGTAACTCTCACCATCAGAGGGAAGCAATGGTAAGCTCCTTCTAAACCAGTGGTTCTCAACCTTCCTAATGCCGTGACCCCTTAATAAAGTTCCTCATGTTGTGGTGACCCCCAACCATAACATTGTTTTTGTTGCTACTTCATAACAGTCATTTTACTACTGCTATAAATCATACTGTAAATATCAGGTATGCAAGATGTATTTTCATTCACTGGACCAAACTGGGCACAAATACCCAATGCAACCACATGTAAATGCTAGTGGGGTTGGGGAGGACTGATTTTGTAATTTGGGAGTTGTAGTTGCTGGGATTTATAGTTCACCTGTAATCAAAGAGCATTCTGAACTCCACCAGCGATGCATTTGAACCTAATTTGCCACACAGAACTCCCATGATCAACGGAAAACACTGGAAGGGTTTGGTGGGCATTGACCTTGAGTTTGGGAGTTGTAGTTCACCTATATCCAGAGAGCACTGTGGACTCATGCAATGTAGGATCTGGACCAAACTTGGCACAAATACTCAATATGTGCAAATGTGAACACTGGTGGAGCCTGGGGAAAATAGACCTTGACTTTTGGGAGTTGTAGTTGCTGGGATTTATAGTTCACCTACAATCAAAGAACATTCTGAACTCCACCAACGACAGAATTGGCTCAAACTTCCCACATGGAATCCCCATGGCCATCAGAAAATACTGTGTTTTCTGATGTTCTTTGGCGATCCCTCTGATACCCCTTCGCGACCCCCTCAGGGGTCCCAACCCCCAGGTTGAGAAACACTGTTCTAAACAAATCTTGCCACAGTGGATAAGTGCAAGGGTCCCTATAAATCAGGAATGACTTGGAGACACACAACAAATAAATATGTTGCCCAGAGTCATGGAATGAGATTTTGTCTTTAAGGTTGTATTGTAGTAAGACTTTATTTATCAGTCTGTGGAAGTTATTGCAGTTGTAGCCCAGTCATAAGAAAAATAAGTAATGGCTGATATAGTTTGTTATCCTCTTGAGACTTGCAGCCTATAATAAGTTTGTTGTGAAAGTTACCCCTACCAGTCAAAATTTTCATTCTTCAAATGTTCTTGCATTTTTCAGCTGTCATAAAAAAGAATGTGCTGAATCTGGTACTTCTGCTAATTACAGTGATACAAATGTATCTAAACACATAGAAGCTCAATGTATACATACAAGTACAAATGTCAGCAAAACATAGGATTGTTACATTCACATTTAACAGAAATAATTTGTTCTTTTCCTAAAAGATGAAACAATTCTTATTCACATGTGTGGAAATGGTTCTTCTGTCTTTACTACCGACGAGTAGACTCCAAATCCTTGCACATAAAATGTCCTATTTTCTTTATGACACAAGAGTAGACTCCAACATACAACCGGTTTTGACTCACAGGAGTCGTCATCAGGTAGCTGAGTGTATAAACAATACATGTCATTAATACACACATATAGTTTGCCAACTGGAAACATCAAGCTTGTTAGTATATATATATATAAACACTACTTACTCATTTATCAAAAAAAACTCAATATTTGAGGCAATTGGTCTACTGACAGTGCTCTTGAAAAGTGTATCCTGAAGGGAACATAAATAGGGCTAAAGGTAGTACTACATAGTTACATGAAACACATACAGTTTATAACAAAGATATATAACATACACAACAAAAATGATTAATAATACTCACAAGTCCTTGTTAACAAGTATACTCTGCAAAGGCATTTTATTCTGTAGTACGAGTCAGTGTAGTGTAATGATTTGAGCATTGCACTGTGTCTCTGGAGACAAAGGTTTGAGTCCCCACTTGGCCATGGAAACCTACTGAGTGCCCATGGTCAAGTTATACTCTCAGCTTCAGAGGAAGGATATGGGAAACCCCCTCTGAAATGTCTTGCCAAGAAAATCCCATGTTAGGTTTGCCTTATAGCCAACATACTGGAAAGCACACCCCAACAAAATTGGAGTACATTGAAGAATATGTAAATCATGGGGAGGGGGTGTATTAAAAGAAATACCTATTCCGGTTATGTTGTACCACTAGATTTCACAGCCTGTTGACAACTTAATATAGCTCAGATGCTTTAGCTCAAATCTTTGCTAGAGATCTTGTTCCCTTTGTTTTTTATTCAGGTGCTGCTAGCAAGTCATGATGGTTGAATCTGCCTCGGAGACAATACGTTCCACTCCCTCCAGCCAGAATGGTGTCAGCAGCCTAAACAATCCAACTGATGGAGGAGGAGGAGGTGGAGGTGGAGGTGGTGGCGGGTGTGGAAGAGAAGGAGGAGCCAGTGGGGAAGCCAATGGAGAGATGAGCCCAGTGGAACTCCTGCATTTTCAGCAGCAACAGGTACTGACAACTTCGTTCTGCCATAGTCTCTGTTTTATTCAGCTAGATTTCTTCCTCCATGACAAGAGGCATTACTCCTTTACATTTTAATAATATTTTATTAAGAGTTTTTTGAATACAATAAAATTGCAAATCTTTTTATTTTGAAAAGCAGTAGACAAAAGATTGAAAAGAGAAAAACAAAAGTGGGATATAAAAATATAGACAAAGAAAAAAGTGAATTTTAAATGGCTATAGATACATATGCTATAATTGTATCCCTCTCTTTAAAACTACTTGTAATTTATATTCCACCTTTCTCGCAGTATGGGATACAAGGTACCATATATCAAATTATCAAATATTTCTTCCATTAACTAAATCTTATTATCAAACCCAAAAGTTATTTAGTCATTTTCTTTTATTTTGAAAAAAGTTTATAAGGAGCTTCCAAACTTTTAAAAATGTTTTTTTCTCTAATTAAAACCAATAGTTTGTACATTTCAGCTAAATCAGTCAGTTTCAGCAACCATCTCTATTATGTAGTGTTGAATTCTTTCATCTGTGTGCATACAGCAGTCTTGGTGCTGTTGTCATATATTGCACTAATCTTCCATGAATCATTTCCAAATATTCATCCATGAGTCCCAAGATGAAAAGTGGCGTTTTTAATTTTAAGATCCTCTTGATCAAAGTATGGTTTTGAACCCATTTTTTTCTTGAAGATATTCCTCCTGTGGTTCAGAGTAGAATATTGCCATTCTATTAAGTACTGTGGTGCGTAGCTAAAGGAGGACATTTAAAATAGCTGCTGCTTTGTTCAGAAAATCATTAATATGTCACTCATATTGTTTACAGCATTAGATAACATTGACGTTCATGAGTCATAATGTATTGCTCTATAATTTTGGCCAAGGCTCGAATCAACAAGAACAGTTCTTAAGCTGTAATATATGCATTTGTTTTGTTTTATTTAAAGTTCACATTTTTTTGTATTGCAAGCTTTATTTTCTCCCATTTTTAAAGTACTTCTTAAAAGCTTTTTTAAAGTCCACAGAAAATTTGTATTCATCTTCATGTAACTGAAAAGTCATACACTACTGTACAGAAATTTCCCTAATGCACCTACACAATTTTTCATCAGATAGCTGCATCACAAAATATGTAGAAATGCAGAAATCAAAGCCTCCTAGTGTTTCAAATTTTGTATTCAAAAATGTGAATAAAATTCAAAACAAGCAAGATCATTTTCCATCTCTAAAGGTAAATGTAAAAGTCATGGTTTCACCTGTTTGTCTACAACAGCAGCTCAACAATAATCTCTAGCAAATTCTAGCTAGAAACCAATATTATAGAGAATGAATTACTGCAATTTGAGCCAATAAAAAGCCTAACAAGAACTCTATATGTGAATTTATTTACTTAGTCAATACATATTTCAACAGTTGCTACTCAGTACATGCGAAGTTATTAATTCATGATATTTTTCATGTCGGAAGGGATAGCAACTCTAGGCACTTGATAGTGAAAGCAGCATACTATGCTACCCATGATGATTGCAAAGCAATGCACACTTAGACAGCATGTATCTAGTGGTGTCATACATTTGAGTGATGTTCATTGTTTTCATCTGATGAGTGTCCATCATCATCTGATTCTTGTACCTGTATGCATCATTGTCATCTGCTTTCTTACAACCATATATATCAGTAGTTGCCATTACCACAGTTTGTATTTACTGAGTTTTGATACAGATCTGATCCTTTTATAGGAATATAACTCTGGCAGTAAAATAGTCCTAGATCTCATGACTTCATCATCAGTTCTGGTAAAATATGGCTTGGGGGATGGCAGGGGGCATTCCCCATATTTAACAATGCATCCAGGAGATGGAACCCTTTGATTATTAAATTGTATCATTTAATCAACAAAGAAATCTAACATAGCAGTGTGGTAATGTATTGTTGAAGGCTTTCACAGCTGGAATCACCGGGGTGTTACTTGTTTTCTGGACTGTATGTTTGTGCTCTGCCAGCGTTTTCTCCTAATGTTTCGCCTGCATCTGTGGCTGGCATCTTCAGTGGCATTTGGTGTTTCATCCAGTCTTGCATCAACAAAACATTTAAAATGGTTTTTTCCCCCTGACTGCTGGCGGTAATTTCAACAAGGAAGCTTTCTTTTATTAGTGTAATACTAGTGGTATCACAACTAACAAAGGCATGAAAACCTTGTGCATTTTTTGTCTGATCCTAAAGCATGAGTGGGCAAAGTGTGGCTGTCTAAATGTTGTTGGACTTAAACTTCCATCTAGCGGAGCCCCCGGTGGGTTAAAGCCCTGTGCTAGCAGGAATGAAGACCGACAGGTTGCTGGTTCGAATCCGGGGAGAGGCGGATGAGCTCCCTCTATCAGCTCCAGCTCCTCATGCGGGGACATGAGAGAAGCCTCCCACAAGGATGATAAAACATCAAAATCATCCGGGCGTCCCCTGGGCAACGTCCTTGCAGACGGCCAATTCTCTCACAACGGGACGCTCCTGACACGACCAAAAAACCCCCCAAAAAAACAAAAAAACTTCCATCTACCTCAGCCAGGATAGTCAGTCGTGACAGGTGCAAGAAGTTGTAATGTAATAACACTGGGAGAGTTGCACTTTGCCCACCACACCCTAGAGCATCATAAACAGACTCCTGTCCCTAGGCATATCCCTAGACTAGTGTCAACAAGATGTTGATTGGTATAACATAAGGTGTTTTTGAAGTGTTGGTATCAGTAGAGCTTTGTCAGGTGAGTGAATGTGTACATCATCAACTTCCTGAAAGTGTATTTTTAATGTCAGCTGCTTTTAGCTGATTCCTACATGACTGGCTAGCAATGAGTGGCAGCTGATGTTTTTCTCCATAATGCAGTTACACATTATTGTATTTGCCAGATTTGTTAATGATTTTGTGTGCCAAGTATTCTGTTCATTTGCGTTTTGTCTGTACCATTGACAGAAACATTTTCAGTTAAACATATCTAATTCTAATGCTGGTATACATTTGCCATTCTGCCTACAGGGCTTTCAGAATGAGCAATACTTTTCAGTGATAGTGAAATAGCTTACCATTGAAGCACAACTTGTGCTTTGTCACAGGAATCTAAGCAGGACTTTTAATTAGTGAATGAAATAATTGACAAAGCCATCATATGTGTAGATGAAGAGTGATGTATTGAGTTTTGCAGTAGTGCTATACCTGCAAAGACAGTAACAGGCTGTTGTACCTGTGTAATTATTTATTTATTTATTTATTTATTTATTTACTTTGCTTATATACCGCTGTATCTCAAGCCCGAAGGCAACTCACAGCGGTTCACAAACAGTAGAAACAGTAGAAACAGCAGTGGTTCCATACAACATATAACAATTGACTTAACACATTATCCATAAATTACCAATAAGCAATTACAATGCACAATTATTACAAAAAACAACCGTACCCAATCTTCTCATCATCCAAGCGTAGTCCAGATTCGTCGTCCATTGTTCCATTCCTATGTTCCATTACCAGATTGTACTAAATTACTCAAACGCCTGCACAAACATCCAGGTCTTCACCTTTTTGCGGAATACCATTAGAGATGGTGCTAGTCTAATGTCCGTAGGAAGGGCGTTCCACAGCCGAGGATCCACCACCGAGAAGGCCCTATCTCTCGTCCCCGCCAGCCGAGCTTGAGAAGCAGGCGGGATCGAGAGCAGGGTCTCCCCGGAAGATCTCAAACTCCTGGTGGGTTCATAGGCAGAGATGCGGTCAGATAGGTAGCTTGGGCCGGAACCGTTTCGGGCTTTAAAGGCCAACGCCAGCACTTTGAATTCAGCCCGGTAGCAGATCGGTAGCCAGTGGAGTTGGCGCAACAGGGGGTTGTATGCTCCCTGCGCTCCGCTCCTGTTAAAATCATGGCTGCCGAGCGTTGGACTAGTTGGAGCTTCCGAGCTGTCTTCAAAGGCAACCCCACGTAGAGAGCGTTGCAGTAGTCTAAATGGGATGTAACTAGAGCGTGGACTACCGTGGCCAAGTCAGACTTCCCAAGGTACGGGCGCAGCTGGCGCACAAGCTTTAGCTGTGCAAATGCTCCCCTGGTCACCGCCGAAACCTGGGGTTCCAGGCTCAGCGATGAGGCTCAGTGATTATATTTGATAATCTAACCATATGAAACATAAGAATTTCAAGAACACTGCTTTTCTTTGTTGGTGTGAGAAGGCTGCCTTCAGTTTTGACCAGTGTATGCAGATTCATGTTGAGCCTGTCAGTGATATCTTTCAAATCTTCATTTCATGTAGATCTGGCATCCAGCAGTAGTTTCACATGATGTTGCTAACAGAGACTTCACTTTGCTTTGCCATACAAAAATTGTTAGTGTAGCCTATGGCAAAATTACTTAATTGCTAATCTAGACAGTCTCTCCAGAGGCAAGTTATGGATAGCAGGTATAAAATAGCAGTTCTATGCCTAAGATAGCTTTGACTTTTTCATCTTAGCAAATGCTATTAATCCAAACCCAGATCAAAGTTATAGACATAACATTATGGATAATTTTACCCATTAATGGCAGTTGTGAAATATAGAACTGTTGCTGGTTTTTGCAACATGGTTGTGGTAAATTTGAAAGTCCCTGTCTTGCCTCTGCCATAACACATGGCACCATGTAGCTTTTGTGCATGGGGAACATCTTCGTCATTAAAGCAAAGAAAGAATGAGAGAATTGGCTGTCTGTAAAGATGTTGCCCAGGGGACGCCCAGATGTTTTTATGTTTTACCATCCTTGTGGGGAGCTTCTCTCATGTCCCTGCATGGGGAGCTGGAGATGACGAGGGAGCTCATCCGCGCTCTGCCTGGATTCGAACCTCTGATCTGTCAGTCATCAATCCAAAATGTGACATATAAAGTGGTGTGGGTGATCATGTTTACTGGATTAGGAGTGGTAATCAAGTGACTGACCCGATTATGCTGGACTACAACTTCCAGGAACTTTAGTCAGTTTA